AACTACATCGACTCCCTCCCAAAGGTAAAAACAAAGATGAACGTACAAAAGTTGCATAATTTCCATGGAATCTACTGTCATAACAAGCCATTGATTTTTGTGTTTTGTTTAGAACGGGAGAGCTAGTCTTGGTGATTCAATCTATAGGAGTATCACGGAAGAATTCTTTGATCCTAATCAATTTCTATCGACTATGGACTTATCATCAGAGCTCAAGATATTAGACCTGAAGAATAGAATAGAGGCATCTGTTGTGATATGGAAGAGAAAGATGGTTCAGAAGGACGGTAAATCGGCTTGGGGCTCCGGCGTTAGCTACGAAAAGCGAGAACTCTTCGAAGAGAGAGCCGAGACGATCTTGTGCATTCTCAAACATCAGTACCCTGGAATTCCTCAATCTTCACTCGACATCAGCAAAATCCAATACAACCGGGTAATATACCTCTTCTGCTCGTATGCACGCGCACATGCACATATATTAAGGTTATCTTGTTGGTATGACAGGATGTAGGACAAGCTCTCCTGGAGAGCTATTCAAGGATATTGGAAAGCTTGGCCTTTACAGTCTTGTCCAGAATAGGAGATGTCCTCTATGCTGATTCTATTGCTCGAAATCCCAATCAAACGACATCCAAGAACCTGCCAAATTCGGTGAATCCAGGGTCGGGAAACGATGGGGAAAAAGGGAACTTAATGACCCTGTCGGACTTACTTACGTGGAGTGCGGAACAACTCGAGATTGACGAGGAAGACAAGGAATGCAAAGAAGAGATATCCAAAGAGATTGATGAAAAGCAGGTGCAAAAACTACACGTAGTGACTTCGAAGAAGTCATATCTTGAAAGCTTGGGTGGGGTAGGAAGCCCACAAGAACGCCATTGATGGAAGCATTCTGTACTTTTGAATGTTTGCTGCATTCTGTATTTTTTCCATGGCTTCCTTTTGTAAATAGGAAAACAAAAACAAAACTAAACTATGGAGCTTAAAAGCATTCATATACTTCTATCATTTTGAAAACAAAGAAACGAGTTTGTAGTTTGATAGCCATTGAATATGATTTTATCTTTAAATGTAAGACTACTGTGATTAACTAACTGGCTTGAGAACACTACTTTCCATGGTTATTGCTTAAACCTGTGAGTTAAGGGGGGAAAATATGAGCTTCCCAATTGATATCTGCTTAAATCAAAAGGCTATTGTGATCAACCATCTTCACATTGTAAGCTGGTCTTATGTTTCGTAATGTGCAAGATACCATTGTGTTTACAGATTCAACTGATTCCATGGTTAGTTTGGCAGATGAGGAGTTGTTTGTTAAGATCTGGAAGGCTATTGTGAGCAAAGAGCCTCCTTCGGAATTGATGCTCTTTTCTTTTGCCTACTCGACTCGAGCCGGTCGGGAAGAATGGAGAAACCTGAAGGTAATATGGCAATGTTGCTTGAGTCACATCCTGTGATCACCGACTGCATACCGGTAATGTCCACAGGAGCAAAGACCACCATGCATTCGAAACCATTGATGCAACTGTCTTGGAGCACTCACATGCTGTTCTCTTTGGACTTCATTGTCTGAAACAGATAAACATGATTCAATTTGGATAATGGATATGATCCAGAGAGAAAAAATCCAGATTTTGGTTCGCGAAAATTCTCTGATGGGAAGCGGAGAACTTGCTTGAACTGTTACTGCATTGCCCTGATCTTGCCCTTTGGCCAGGTTTGCTATGCACTTCACGGAGCCTCCATTTGACATGATATCCCACTACAAGTTTATAGAAGAACGATGATTGAATTATTGTTCATACTATTCGTTTCAAACAGTGATATTGCGTAGACTGTGATGTACCTCGTGGCGACGAGCTTCATCTCTCAGGAAATCGAATAAGAGATTTAGAGAGACAGGCAACCAAATGGAAGAAACTGCACAGACAATCACCCCAAGAGGTTCACCAGGGTTATGTAAGTTTTTCCTTGAAGAAACTGTAATGTCTTCCCCTGTTTTGGTAGTGACTTTGTTCCAAGTATTATAGCTTGATGCTCCAATTGCATGGCAAAAACTCCTTCTCATTCTTTGTCCCAACTTTAAAATGCTTTTCCTCCCGGCCGACGTCGGAATTCCTAGATTTATTCAGGCTTTTAGTTGCAAATTTTTCTATGGTGAAACAAACAAATTGTTAGTTCATCATAATACCAATGGGTAAAGTTGCAGTGTTGCCATCCAATGCCTCGCACCGAACACTAGAATGCTGCGGACAACGGCTCTCTTCCGGCACTCAAAGTGTTCAATCCAAGTCACCTGAAAATTCGATGAATTTCCCACACATCTTGCTTTAAGCGAAGTTGACGAATTTTTCTGGCATTTACATATATTATTACCTTGCAGTGGCAATTGGAATTATCCTGGATGATGCAACCTGAAGGACGTTTCGTGCATTTGACCAAGGATGCATCGATGTTGTCTTCAACTTTGTCGATGGAAACATCGACAATTGCCCATTGTTCAGCACTCAATTGCTTGCGAGACCGAACAAAATACACTTCTCTAGTAGGCACCAAGGGTGTCAGCATTTGCAGCTCCGCAAACATTCCACCATCATCCATTGTCGGAGTTTGGTTTACAAGTTATTCAGTTATCAAATTACTTGGAAATTTTCAAAATATTTTTTTTATAAATAATTAAATAATATTATCGTCTGATATTGGTATAACATATAAAAAATGAAATTGAATATAATTAAATGTTAGTATGCTCAGATTTAAAAAAATATATGAATGTAAAAAGCCTGAGTAATCTAGATATTATATTCAAATTTCTCTATATTCCCCCCCTCTTTTTAGGTAAAAATTGTCTAAAAAGATAATAATAAGGAAAGAACTCTGCTTTCACCTAATTATGCGTGTCATTATCCAATGTATTCTAAACTGAATTAATAAATCATGAGTGCTCATTATTTTTTTAAATTAATGTTATTATTAAAATATTTTAATTGAATTTTTAAAATTTTAATATAATTTTTAAATTAAACACTGATATCCGATCTATTGACCGACTAATCCAGATCGGGTACTGCAAAGGCGAGGGTGACCCGACCAACCTAATTTGCTCCATTCGCAAACGCCAGGATGTTACGTTGCTTAAGGGGCCTAGTGCCTCATTCCACTAGACCAACCAGTTGTTGGTTTTTAAAATTTTAATATTATATGTTAATATATATAACATAGTATATATTAATTAAGTTTTAAATATATTCTACATCATCATAATTCAGATTTAATGTGCTACAACAATATCAAAACTAAAATAATATTTTGAAGATTATATTACAGTATTACAAAAAAATTGAACACGTTATCTCAAAAATAATAATAATAAAATAAAAAAACATTGGATGGTCTGCGAGGTGAAGCTACTAGGGTTGATCATGAACGATTAATCGTATCGTTTATCCTAAACGGTCGGTTAATCATTATAACGATTATGTGATATTTCTAAACGTAACATAATCATTAAGAATCTGTATAACAATTATTTATCAAAATTTTCATAATACTTACACCGATGTAAGTAAATAAAATAAAAAAAATATAGCACTTAACGTATATTTACATCAGTGTAATTATGTACATCTCCAAATATCTTAGTATCTAACAATAAACACATAATTATATTGGTGTAAGAATATTTCTATATTTTCAAAGAAATAAAAATAAAAAATGATATATATATACAAAATTATTTGTATACAAATTTTATTAAATATATATATAAATTATAAATAATAGAAAACTATAGCAAGTTATTTGTGTAAAAATATAATAAATTAAAAATTTAATTATAAATTTAATTTTTTAACGATTAATCATTTATCAAAACTTATAATCGTAACATTAACCGTTAACTATCATTTTTAGTGATTTGGTTAACCAAAATTATTTAATATTAACGATTCAATTAATTAACCTTTTAAATATAACAATTACACCTATTAACGATTCTAGGGTTTTTTGAACAACTCTAAAGCCTACATTTAGTTTTTTTTAAAGAAAGAGAGGGGTACAATAAATTATTTGGATTTTGGGTAAGAGTTAGACCGACAAAAGAAAAACTTGCCAAAGTTTTCGACTTTTTCATGTCCACCACTTGCCTAAAACTCTTAACAAACATACGCTGGCTGGCCACGAAATCCTTTTATATAAAAATAATAATTTCATTTCATTTTATTTTAATTTAAACAAAAACTAAACTATAATATATATATTATTTAAGTCTTAATTTGATTAATATAATTATTGTTTGAGTATTAAGGAGGGCATAAATTCAAGCAAACTTAAATATATATATATATATATATAACTTATGATATGTGGGAGGAATGAGATCTAAATTATTTTGATACTATATTAAAAATAAATAATTAAAATTAAGATAAATATTAATTAAAATTAATTATTTTTTTAGTATCTAAATTTAAAATTTCTTAGATTAATTTAGTATCTAAATTTAATATTTTTTTTCTTCGCATGTGTTGACTTAATATTTTAATAACTAGTTAGACTTATGATATAGTATTTATCAATTGTAATTTTAATGTTATTAAGTGTTATACATCATGATTGATTGTTGAAATATAATTTTATATATTATTTCTAAAAAATTCAAATATTAAATTATTTTATTCTTCCGTTTAAAATTATTTTTAAGAGATATAATTGAACCCAGCGCACTCTCAATCTATTTATATTCAGATCGTAATGAGTGAGCAAATATGTTACGTACATAAAATCAAAATTTTATTACTTTTCATATTAGTATGAAATAGTAACTCATTTGTTTCTTTTACATTTTTGTTATTGCATGTATATGAGATGAAATGATTGTAGTAGCGGAGAGCATTTCCCATGCTAACTCCACGTATTATCATATTATAATGATATTTAAATTATATTATAATATTTGAATAAATTAATATATATTAGTTTATATTATATTTTTTCTAGGTCTAAAATTCAAATGCAGGACTTACCAATTGTACAGCACCATCTTTGTTAGGAGCTTCACCATTGCAAATCACATCCACAATGGCTGCCTTTGAGATTATGGATGCGAACATTTCTCTCCAATGATTCTGTACTCATAAACACAGATCAAAACCCTTTAATTTTCTATAATTTTCTTAAAGATATATATATATATATATATATATTAAAATTACCACGTCCATGAAGCTTTGTAGTAGCCTTGGGAGATCAAGAAAAACAACCCCCGTCTCTCTAGACGCCTCGATAGCTGGTCTTTCTGGCCTTCTATTGCTTGAATTTTCAATAGGGAACCGTTTAACATATTCATCATAGTCAAGTATTTCACGACCAGTTTCAACGCTTCGAACCCACAGCGGTTCACCGTCGATTGCCATCGTCTTCAACTCTTCCATTTCTTGTTCAGCAATCTCCATAATTCTCCACTTTTTCATCCCCAAAATCCCAGAGTAAAAATCTAAACAACTCCTGTTTTCTTGCACATCGTTATTCCCAGCCGAGGAACATGAGCTAGTGGACGCTGCCCCTGAAGGGTATTTCCCTACAACCGTTCCCAATTTCTCCACCTGCGAAAAACACAGAATACTCGCTGCTATTACAATATATATGAACATTAGAATAAAGGTTTCTGGATTCTAGACCTCGGCTTTGAGTTTCGCATTCTCGATACGTAGTTGTTGTTCTTGGCTCGTTTTTGCTACGCCACAGTTGGGGCAAGAAGCCTTGTGTATGGTGGCTCTTATGGCCTTGTTCTCTTCCCGGAGTTTCTCCAGTTCTTGCTTCAACAAAGAGTTCTCATGGCGCTCTTGTATAGCCTGCAAATCGCGGCCGGCCTCTTGAATGATTACCGGACGTAGATGAAACGACAAAACGACACAACCAAGGGATTAATTAATTACCTTGATTTGTGTTCGACGATTTTGAAACCAGAACTTGACTTGCCTTGGAGCAAGGCCTAATTGTTTACTCAGCTGCTGCCTATGCTTCTCGTGTGGATGAGGTTATTTTTTAAACAGCCTAATAACATTTCACGCAGATTTAATTTATTACAGACATGCAGAAGCACGAAACTAGATATAATGTTTGATATTAGTTCTGTACCTAAAAACATATATATGAATAAAACCTAGAAAAAGAGTTATTAAAGTGACCATATAATTTTGTGTCCATGTTCTTTGAGGTACCTTCTCTATCTTGTTTTCTATTGCAAGCAAGCAATATGTCACAGCACGATACATGACTAACGTTTGTTGATTTGATTACCCGTTTTAGTGAGACTATTTTGATCCTCAAAAGACCTAATATGACATCATTTTACTTAAGAAAAATTGTTATAAATATTATATTTGGAGGTATCAAACTCTAAGCCTTTTGAAACAAATGTTAAAGCTTAACCACTTAACTGAACCAACTTAAACTTTTATATATTTTTATAAAAATAATAAACATACCATATATTTGAGAATATACCATTTCACTCTAGACATTTTTTTTGTCCCTGACTTCACTCCAAGTAGCTGCACCATCTATACACAGACTAAGCAGAAGAAATAAGAACGTGACAAAAACATAAAGCGACACCTTTGTCTCATCCTTAATAATAAAAATGTTAATAAATTTACGCTTAAACATATTTAAATTTATGATCTTTAAGATGTTTGAACGGATATCTTAAAGACTCCGAAGTTCTGAAGTACCAAATAATAAAAGGAACTCCATTTTTCACTATTGTTAAGTCCATTCTATGAGATCATTAGGCTTTCTTTTACTAAATTCTTACTGCTAAACAAGTTGGTAGGTGTGAGCAAAACTCGACACGACTCGGCTCGAATTTCATAAACTTGACTCAAAAAAATTTTAAATAAAGTTTGAGTTATAAAATAGGACTCGTTAACTCGTATAACTAATTTTTTTTTGAATCGACTCGATCGAACATTCACCCCTATGAGCCTGTACGTAAGCAAAGATTTCGTGCTAAACTGAACTCATAATTTTGCAGTATGGTCACTTAAACCAGTAACTAATGCAAGAAGACTATTTGTTAGAGAATCTTAAACTTAGGGATGGCAACGGGCCGGGTATTGGTCCCCGTCCCCGTCCCCGTTTAAAAAACCGGTACCCGTCCCCGTTTAAAAAACCGCGGGGATTTAAACGGGGATCCCCATCGGGTAATCGGGGAAAACCGCGGGGAAACGGGTATCCCCGTTTAGCACAAACGATTATTTAAACGGGTATTGGGCCAGGTATTGGGTCGGGTATTGGGTCGGTATTGGGCTGGGAATCGGGTCGGGTATATATATATATTTAAATTAAATATATATATTTTTATTTAAATTAAATTTATTAATATTATATATATATATATATATATAATTATTTTTAATATTTATCGGGGCGGGTAATCGGGTAATCGGGGTGGGGATTATCAAACCCGTCCCCGTCCCCGTCCCCGTTTAAAATAAATGGATTTTCTCCGTCCCCGTCCCCGTCCCCATTTATCATCCCCGAACCCGATCCGTTTAATTCGGTTTTCCCCGTCGGGTTCGGGTTTTTTTGCCATCCCTACTTAAACTCCACAAAATCAACTCCGGTACATGTTTCAAGTACTTCTTTTGATTCAGGTAAAGAAAAACATGGAGTTTCCGATGAGTCTTTTTATTACTTTAAGGACACTCTCTACAAATTTGAAGAAACAAAAGAAGAAAGTTGCAGTCATAAAAACTGAAACCACTCACGAGTCATGGATAAGTGTTATATTTTAACTCAAATTATAATTAATGATTAAGTTGGATTTTATATATGCATAAGAGTCCTTATACGTGCATAACATGATTGTAATGAAGCAAATTCATTCGATCATGGCCATAACGATCAGTTACCGTGGATCATCACGTTAGCATCGTTGATCATTATGTCAGTATCGTGAACTGTTATGTCAGTATCGTAACGATCAACAACGGAAATCATTGATCAAATGGTCACATTATATTTTTTCTGAGTTTTAGGGGCACATTGAGTACAAAAATAGTTTGAGAGACACGTTAGTTTTTTAGAAAAGTTTGAGGAGCCTCACATACCATTAAACCTAAATATAAATACTAAAGTGAGAAGAAAAGCATAGCTTGAGGGCCAAAGTGTGAATTAGCCAAGCATAAATGCGAGGGCAATTGGGTAACTCATGAGAACCGTTGAACAATAAAACAAAAAAAAAAACATCCCAGCGGAAGAGGAAAGCATATGAGCCGAAAATCACACTGATCAAAGATAGTGATGTTTTTGCTACAATTATTAGTTCTATAGTTAAAATAGAAGGGAGTAATACATTAATGATTAATGGTGTAATTTATCAAATCTTGTTTTTCGCTGCCTGACCACATAATTTTATTTTATTTTTTTATTTTTAAAAAAAGCCTCTCGTTCTCTGTTTCTCGCTTAGCTGCAACTGAGGTAGCAACCTTAACCTCAATTTCTCTTTTTTCTTTCCCATGGTAAATCTTTTGGACTTTTCCGAATTTATTTATTTTTATCCTTTCTCCCCGCTTTTTAGCAGGTAAATTCATGGCTTCCATTACCGCGAGTCTGCTTCCGCCATTGTGTTTACAAGATAGAAAGACCCTTTTCCGGACTTCTCAGAAACCCCTAGTTTTTTATACCGGAGGTGTGTTATTCACTGGATTTATTCTAAAGCAACTATATTTCTTTTATATTTTACCGTAAATTTAAATGTTATGGCTTAATTTTCACTTGGGTGGTTTTTGGTTAGTTCATAGTTGAATTTGAGTCTATTTTCATTGGTTTTTTTCCACCTTTTTAAATGTTAGTTATAGATTTTTATGAGATAAATGATGCTCTTAGTTGCATATAAACCTAACCATAAATATCAATCTCGGAATGATCGAGGATAAAAATGAGGTTTTGGGGAAATTAATGTGGGACTTCTGTTAAAACAATGGTATTGTATATATACACTTGGAAATGAACAATTATCATGGCAATCATTGGTGTTGAGAAAATTTAACTTGGGGCAAGGCATAAATTCTCAGTTAATGGTCTTAGATTTCTTTGCTGTCAGTCGATTATCATTCATGCTGCGACGCCAGGAATGGGATTCAACTCTGCTAATCATTTGGCAGTTGTGTTGTAGGTGCAGAACAATTACTTGAAACTGAAATTAGGTGTTTAAGACTTATTTGTGGGGCGATTATGGAGTTATTGTTTGGCAACTTGATTCAGAACTGAAAATGGTTGGCAATTAGGTTTTATATTTGTTGCAATGTTCCATGCTTGCCTGATTTCCTTGCATTGCAGGGAGGCAAAAGAGTACTGTTATTGTGAAGGCTTCAGGTGATAGCTCGGAGTCTTCAACTTCGCTTAGTATCGTTAAGTCTGTGCAAAATGTTGTAAGTTTCTCTCTCACACAGACACTTGCATATCATTATCATGATTGCACACCTTATGTGCTTGTAAAATATGGAGGGAGTTGGGGAATAGTAAGTACTTTGTTCAAGAAATAACGGAATTTCTATGGTTGAATTTCCGTGAAGCAAGAAAAAGTCTTCTTCTTCTATTCCTGCCTTAGGTGGCACGTATTCATGAAAACATATATTTTTTTCTCTCCTTTTCTGATTTTGCTTTAATTTTTGTGGAACAGTGGGATAAATCTGATGAAGATAAGGTAGGTCTCATTGGTCTGGGATTTGCAGCTATTGTGGCCTTGTGGACATCAACGAATGTGATTTCGGTAATCTATTGCTTTGGAGTCACAAACCATATTTGTGAGTTTTAACTATTAGAATAATCACTTTGAGCTCAAACATAACTTCAAGCCTCTTCCTTTGATATGTACAGGCTGTTGATAAATTGCCAATTATCCCAGTTGTGCTTGAAATTATCGGAATACTGTTTTCTACGGTAAGTTCCCGAGCACTAGCTTTCAACCATGCTTAACATGTCACTGGTACATATTTATGTTTCCCCATCTCCGCGGAAGCTTCAATTACTAACTCATGTTTTCCCTTTTCAGTGGTTTGTTTACCGCTATCTCTTGTTCAAACCAGATCGGTAAGTAGAATTCCTCGACTTAAGAGATTGCTCGATGGTGAAACTCATAGTTGTTACTTGTACACTCGGTACAATCTTTTTCTACCTAGAAGAAGAGAGCACCACCATGGGTGATTTGTGAATGTTTAACAACCTAACCATAATTACCCGTTTTTGCAGGGAGGAACTGTACCAAATCATCAACAAGACAATATCGCAAATATTTGGACAGTAATTCTGGTGCTAAAGATTTAATTGAGGATCAACTCTGCAATTCGAATGTGGTTTATTGCAGTGGTGTCCAAATATGGCAGCTTTTTTTTTGTGTGTGGTATTACTGTGAAGTGTGATGCCTATTAACTTCAAATCACAACCTAATTATAAATTACCTGAAAGTTGAACCAAGAGCCTTTCCAGTTTCCAGTATTCTCAGTCATAGTAACAACTGAAGTATATATCTGTCAAAGTTATGGGACTTGCATACTAACAAAAGACATAGTTGAAACAATCTTAATTGAATTTTGGTGGTTCAAATTTATTAGGTTCGTCAGTTTTAGAATTCTAAAAATGCCTGAGACACCAACATCTTCAGACATGTCAGTGCAATATAAAATAGATGCAAAATTGTAGAAATGTTATGGTTTCATGTCTCAACTTATTTAGTAGTCTCTTACAGTTTACCCTTCATTGAGGCTGTCAATATCAGTAGAACTGATGAAGGTGCAACATTTTTCTATACAATGAGCTTTAGGATGATAACTGCTACTACCAGCTCAGCATCATGTAAAGATAAACTTCAGTTCCTGTCTTCTGCATAGGTAGGGACTGCTTTAGCTTCACCAGCTTGATGAGAACTTATTTTTTTCCCGGAAGCACATAGAAGATAACAAAAGGGGAACATAAGAGCATCATCTACCTGTGAAATCAAAAGATTTAGGCAAAAAATGTTAGTTTTATAAGAACAACAACTAAAAAAGATATCTGAATTCACCTTATATTTTCTAGTTTGACAGGAAGTAGAAGGCAGCCACTCAAAGTTCATATCGTTTTGTTGTGAGCTTAGTTTTGTTGCTGTTCTAATGTCATTATTATCTTATAATCTATCTTCCTTAGAAGTTAAGTTATTTTCTTGGCAGTTCTATCATCTATGTTTCCATAACTCTTCCAAATGATAAAGAGTAAAATGTGTAGCAGTAGTACTTTCAAATGTGTGCAAGCATGCTTCATAGACGGTCATTTTTCAGAGAATATATTGTTCAATTCAAGATATGATTACATGTTCTCACATAATTTTTCATATCTATTAGATTGATAGATGAGGCGAGCCATAAGAATCTTACTTTCATGTTTTGTGAAATGATGAGTTTCTCAAGGAAGTCAAGGAAACTTGACAAAACAGACTTTTCCTTCTCTGAATAGGCATTCTTGAGGTTACGGTTCAGAATCTGGTCTCCTGAAGTAGGTTCCATGAACCGTTTAAGTTTTTCATTACAGATTAATCTGAGTATTCCCGGCGGTAAAGCCCTTCCTTCTGGCACATCAGTGGCATCAAAACCAATATTAAGGTCATCAGTGGCCCTTTCCTGAACTTGAGCCCGTCCCCCACGGTAATCATCCTCCTTGGCTACAAGAATATCGCCATTCTTGTTTTCTTCTGCCTCTTTCACCTCTGGTTCGGAGCATTTTAAGAACACAGTTTATGATAATTTATGTCATATATATATTTCTGCAATATGATCTCAAGTCTCAACGTTTATACACAATAATAATAATTGAAACCATGTATTGAAAACCATAGGTAAGTGGACAGTAAAACTACAGTTAGAATATAATGTTTTGGTCGTAGCTGCAGTATACCTGTAAAAAGATTGGCAGCCTGAGCTAATGCTGCGGCTTCTGCTAAAATTGCCAATCCTGAGCAGACTTTTCTAGTCTCAAGTAGATGATAAACATTAGCTAGCTTCAATCTTGCACCATAATCAGATGTCAGCAGTTAGTTTTTTTCCTTTCTTTCTACAAACAGAATACAAACATTCGTTGAGTAAATAAATAATTGCTCAGGATAAAATATACCTGTATGGATCCCTAAAAGATCCCACCATAGCAGAATTAATGATATGACAAGTAGGCTCAACTGACAAGGTAGAGGAGGGACAAGAACTTCGTTTGATCACCTGCCAAACGAATAAGAAAACTCTGTGACATATTCGAATGGAAAGTCGGCCTCTGCACGTTTCAAGTGTAGGAATCTTGTAATAGGAATTTGTAGATAGCAGTTTGGTATTGCTCCAACCACATAAAGTGAATACAATAATGGAATGTTTCAAATAATATACATGTATAGGTATATATATACCTTTCGTAAATCAGAGAAGCTTTGACTTGGTGATTTTTTCTCATTTGGATGAAGCTCCTGAAGTTTCCTCTTCCTGGATTCCTGGGACATGAGCTGGCCTGATAAACCGGCTGCATCTGATGTTGCAGAAGTAATAACCCTGTGAATGTAGATTTTTGAATCGATACAATCCTCACCAGTGATTGTCATGATCCCCCTAGATCCTTTAAAGCTCTTGTAAAATTTCATGCTAGTATTATCCATCGGAGAAATAGCAATCCTCCCCTCACAGCCGTTGGAGTTCTTACAGATTATGGTCTTACTGTCTTCCTCACAAGAAGCAGACATGAACTCCTTGCAAACATCAAAATTCTTGCAATCCACACATTTGCAGTTCTGAGAGCAGAAGACGTTAGCTTGGAAACACTCACAGTACCTCTTGAGGCATTCAGATTTCTTGCAGTGGCATCCCCTCTCGTGTCTCCCCACTTGTGGAGCATCCATTTTATCACCCTCCTTGTAAATCATTTGTAGTTGAAAGTTAAAATAAAAATGGCAAGAAAGACAACTTTAAGAGATAATAAAAGCAGAACATAACCTGAAAATCATTTGCATTTTAAATCAGTTGTACATGTATGATCTGAACTAAACCTGAAGGCCCTCATGCTGAAAGAAAGAGATGCAAAAATGTACAGATGACTTCAACAAATTTCACTCGTCTCAACCACTTAATTAAGGGTCAAAGAACTAACGTTATTATTGCATCCTATTTTGAAGAAGGGTTATTATAAATTTATAATTGTTAAGCTACTAACTTAAAAACAATTAGTAATAGGTATAGATATTTAATTTAAATATAAGACCACACTGCACAGGTGATTTAAGATTTAACTGATGTGAGTTTAACATAGCTAGGCAGAGAAATAAGAGCCAACAAGAGACAACCCCAGAAGGGATAACAGGAAGGAGTAATATGCAAAACAAACAAAATAGAACTTGGGTTTTGATACCATATTAACCATCTACCCTAAAATCAATTGACAATAAGTAAAGAGGTCCAACTTAACATAAAGTCCACTCTCAATCCAAGACTTATGAGATAACAACACCTAAACAATAATTATTTCTCATCAAGTCTTGAACTATATCGCTTAATACAAAACATGAAAAATAACTATATGTACCAGAAGAAGTAGAAACAAGCTGATGAACCTGACAATTGATATTCATGGAGAGTAACAAGAAATTCTCAGCAGATAAACTAAGCTAAGCTAAGCTACTGATCAGCAATTGAGCACGCTAGTATTTTATATGGGAGCTGGTAACAAACGTATCCATGTGCAAAAAAGATTAATTCAAATGCAAACTTGCAATGAGTTTATAGACATACAAAACCAACACCCCCCCCCCCCCAAAAAAAAAAAAACAAAAAGCATCTGGGAAAAGTTGTGGGAAATTTGAAAGATTAATCGCATACCACAACATCTCGGGGACTACATGGACTGCTTGAAATCTTTGGCTTGAAAGCATGTGGATTACGCTCTAAAATGACTTCAGAAGCAGCTTTCCGTAGATCCTCATTCTCCACATTATTGCAACAATCACAGCAAATACACCCGTTACAATACTCTCCAGAAGCAAAGCAATCGCAATACCTATCCATTTGTCCGTGGGAATTCTCGAGAGATCAAACCTTTGAAAAGAAAATGCATTGAAATGTACAAATCTATATTCCAAACAAAAGCCACAATGAGCATCCAATCAACCAAATCCTAGCAGAGTTATACGTTGGGATAAAAAAAAACGTAAAGCAAGAACTCTAACTGTTAACATGCAGCTCTATATATTTTGGAATTGCACTTGAGTACATATAACTCACAATTTTAAGCATTTAGATTGCTTGCAGCCGCATTGTTTTGGACCTTTTGGAGTACCATTGTTTGCTTTAATATTAACCCAGGGTATTGGAGAATCTGATGACTTGGAGCTTGAAAAAGTAAAAACATAAAATGGAATCAGATTTTACAATGTCAAGGAAGCTTGATTTTAAGAAACATCAAATTGCAAGAAGAAGCCTATCGTGAATTTAAACCTCTAAAAATAAAGCACCTTTATCTCTGTTCTCCTTTATCTATCCCTCTGGTATATTCTCAGCAACCAAAAACAAGCTAAAGTTGATTTTAAATTTCTCTTCTTTTTCCTTTTCTAATTTTTGAACTCCAATCAAACCAAAAGAGGGAAAAGCAAGAAGAAATCAAAAAAGGAAACCAAAAACCAAAACTCACTTTGAGGAAAAAGGACTCCGAGGAGACAAATTCATTTCGGAGCTTAGCTTCTGCATAGGAAACGGCGGTGAAGTTGCGATGACGGGAGATAGGCCGAACTCTGTGAAGACAAGCTGCCTAGTCAGCTTCTTTTTTGGCGGGATATGTGATGACGATCTCCCCGTAACTGTAATATTAACTGAATCCGACGTCTTTTCAACTGATTTTATCCCTTTTGGCTGGACACAAGGAGTAGATGGAACTTTAATTAACTCGACCCTTTTTGACGGCAAACCTCCGTTCTCTATCTCGAGTTGCTTCATTTGCTTTTTTGTGGTTTTCGGATTCACTATGTAAACAGAGGTGAAGCAAGTCAATAAATCAAATTCGAAAAATAAAAAATAGAGATACTATGCGCTGCTTGATCGGTGGGAAAATATAAGAAAAGGAAACTGTTGCATTCGGCGATTAAATTTGTTCGTTTCGAAGCATGTGTGTTTTAACATTTTTGGTGTTTTGAAGCCGAATCAGCGAGATTGAAGATTTTCCTCTCCTTTCTTTCGTCTTGCTTTATTTTCCCATCAACCAAACAATAAATACAGCTGCTATTCTACGTACCTGGATATCGGAGAGAGAGATAGGAGGGATTTTGGAGCCAAAATTTGAGTATTTAGGAGAGAAGTAGAGTGGTTAGTTACATTGAAGCAGCTGTTAGTTTTAGTTAAAAAGACCGTTAATCTGTTACATATAATATAAAGGATAAATCTCAACTACTTATAAACTTTGTTAGAGGATAATATACTACATAAATTTTAATTTTATATAATAATATACTTAATATTTTTATTCGACTGAAAATTTATAAATTATTATCATAGCTGAACATAATATTATTTTACGAATATAAATTATAAATACAAATAATTATATCAATTCAATATAAAAAAATAAATGTTTTTTTAATTATAATGAAGAGAAAACAACCTAATTATAAGTTATCAGTCCGATCGACTATCCAATGCCTTCCTACGCAGTAATCTTGTAATCTCAATTGGTGGAACTTTTTTTTAAATGGACACTTTGTATATAACTGAAAATATACAGAGTACACAACTTCAATGGTCTCATTAAAAAAACCTCTCTAATCCTAATTGGAGGGTAAAAATGCATCTTGAAATGTAATAGAAAGAACTATCGCAGGGGATATACATAAACAGAATAAAGACATAAACTTTCAACACGAAAGAATCAACCGATAATATGTGACAAAATATGGTAATATGGAGATAAACTTTCAATTGATGGAACTTGATAGATCTGAGTACCAAATGATAGACTCCATACAAGTTTCGCTGAGCCATTCGCAAATTTGTTTCTCTACCTCGGAACGTAATTGAAAGCTAACCTCATTCTCTTTGAAGGAGTTCAATGTTACGTGGTATCATGGAAGAGATACCTTTCATGTTTTTTTTTACACAAAAGTTTAGTTTGGGGTGGCTTCCCTAGTCCAGGGTCAGGGCATACCTAAGACCCAATTGGGATTTACATAGGACTTTACAGATTGTCCACCAAGAGTGACGGTGGTGGGATTCAAACTTGACCTTACAAACTCAAATTCCTAAATCCCAACTAATTGTGTCAACACTCGTCGGCGATACCCTCCTTATTTGATTCTTGAAGCAATAAAAAATAACATCCATACTAATCTATTTCAACGATAATATCTCTTGTCGAAGTATTCTATGTGATTATTATACCATTACTCCTTGAAGCTCTACGTCAAGGACCGAGCAACAACTAATTACTTCATGTTTAGTTTAAACCAACAAGTGGATAAATATGTTTTATCATAAAGTAACAAAAAATTGTTTTAAACTGTTATTATTTAATAAAAGTAATATAATATTTATGAAGAAGAATAAACAATTTAAAAGAAAAACAAATATTAAATTAATAGAATTTTTTAATATGAAGAGTTGAACTTGTTAAATTGTTTTGAATTAATATCGTAACGATAAAACGTATAAGTTTTGAAGATGGAAATTATAATTATACCAAATCATAACTATTCGGTTTAATATTTGACGCCAATGATCTATTTGGATAATATTTTAATTAAGTGATTACGTTATAAGTTCCTAAGATTTTAAAGAAAAGTGACGTATTTGTAACTCGATTAATAATTGAGTTACCTAGTGTGTATTTTACCCTAAAACTATAAGCAGAAAGAAGCAAAAGGTTGATCGACCCATGTTATTTCGTTCCTCGACCCACCGATTTTATCTTTTATCTGAATCTCGCGCGTTTTCTATCAGGTTCCATTTCACACTCTGGCTTATTTTTTCCCAATAATCTGAATCTCGCGTTATCGCTGGAATATATATCATTTTTTTTAATCTCGAATCGATTTAAATAGTGTCTCTTTCCCTTTCTCTGATTTCACTTATGAGTTATGGTAATGAATTTAATTAATCACAGCGGCGATATTCCGTAGTTTTGTTTCTTCAAAATTTCCTTTTTCTTTTTCCACGTTCAGTTTCTCAATTCTCAGCGTTCTTATTCTTTTGAATGGATCTTTAATTCGTAATTCTTTCCCGGTATGCAAGTTTGGATTTGGATCTTGTTGGGTTCTGATTTGAACAAGTTGGGTCATGGTATTTTCTTTTTCTTCTGATCAATTTATTTGCGGCATGTCAATGTAGGGTTTATGGCGTGCTTGAATCGGTGGATTTGGGTTTTCAGATCAAGTTGTTTTAGGAATATATAGTTAAAAAAGTATGGCTTGGTTCAGCGGGAAAGTGTCCCTAGGGGGCTTTCCTGATCTTGCCGGGGCTGTCAATAAACTCCAAGAGAGTGTGAAGAATATGGAGAAAAATTTTGATACAGCTCTCGGGTTTGAGGAGAAATCTGAATCAAGCAACAATGAAGGTACCTTTTTTTGTTTAACATTGCTTGCGTTGTTAGTATTTTGTGTAATATTCTAGCATTTGAATGCAAATGTCTAGTATAAACCTGTGTTAGGTTTTGCATTAAGATATTGGGTTCGTTTTGTTAAATAGTAATGGATGTTCTCATTTTCATTGTAGGTTGAGTTATTAGGTTACTAAACTAGAGTTGTAAAGTTTGTTAGGCAAGTGGCATGTTGCAAGTAATGCACAGTGCTTCAGTTCCATTTTATAGGATGTCAATTAGGAAGCCTGAGTTGTAGTTTACCTCTATTGCCCATTGGAGTGCTAATCTTGTCTTTGAAGGTACAAATGTGAAATATGAAAAAAATAAAATAAAATGAATTGTTTCTATTTACCATTCCTGTATAATACTGTGAAGGTTAACTTTTCAATTATTTTTATTTTAGTTTGAAATAATAAAAAATAAAGCCCGTTTATTATATGTGTCTGCTTTATTTCACACTCCGTGGAATCCAATGAACCTTAACACAGTTTACTTCTTTGCTTCCTTTGAAAAGAAGTTATCTCCATATTATTGTATTTTGTCACATTCCTTGCATAAATAGGTCAATGCTAATCTCATGCTTAAAGTAACACTACATGCTGGTGACTTGTTTTTGAACTGTTTTTTGTGTGCAAAGTCCCAAAAAGGATGATGCTTCTAGTGGCTTATCATTTCTAATCTTTTTAAATTTGAACCAATGTTGGAGTAGATGGAAGTTATAATGTGAGTTTGGACCAGTTATACTAATGACTTCCTGTCTCTATTCTCTCCAGCTTCAGGATTGTGGTCTTCAGAGAGTCCACCCAAAGTTGAGGAAGAAGAGGCTGAAAACGACTGGTCAGCTCATTCTCATGTGAAAACCACTGTTGAAGAAGATAAAGAAGCTGTCATGGTAGAAAAAAAATAGTGAGCTTTTAGAAGCTGCGGAGAGAGCTGATACTGTGACTTTGGACCCTGGTAAAGCTGAATCTGAATCAGAAGAAGTTTATGCTGAGCCTTCTGAATCTGCCTTTAAGAATGTTAAGTCAGACTCTACAGAAAATGGACAACAGAAAGAAATTTCAGATGTAGTACCCTCTGCAGATTCTGACTCCAAGGAAGCCAAACTAGAAACTGCAGAGGAAAACACAGTTGAAGTTACTGAGCCTGTGCCAGCAGAGTCGAGGGATGCTGTAGACATGCATGAAATTAATGATGAACGAAAGACAAAAACAGAAGAGATTTTAGACAAAAATTCTCCAGTTAAATCTAAGGAATCAAGTGATAGCCAAGCTGATACTGGCAATGGCCCTGATGAGCCAATGACCTCAAGTTTGCATTCTGTTATCCTGGAGGAGACTATCAGTGCTCAGGAGCTTTTGCTGCCTACTGAATCGGTTCTTGAAAATGCTAAAAGAGTTGAAGTGGACCGGCAGGTTAATGATGGTGAAGCTGACGCTAAAGAAGAGATACGCTTGAGTTCTGCATCTGCCATGTCTAACTCTGCAGATTCTATCCATGAATTGGAGAAGGTGAAGATGGAAATGAAAATGATAGAATCTGCATTGCAAGGTGCTGCAATACAAGCTCAGGTACTTGATGTCTTCCATTGTTTTTTATTCTGTTTTTATTAGAAGTTCACTAACGTTATTCCAAGTTTTTCTGAGCTCGTGAGCATATTTCCTTCTCTTGTCCTTTTTTCCCCTTCATATGCTCATCACTTCCCCAATATGGAGAATATGCTTTTACTACCTTTGACTTATTTGATTTTGAACTTTACTTTGTCTTTCATGTGTTCAACTTTGAGATGATATCTTCTGCTCTGTCCAAGAGAAAGGGAGAATTCTGCAGTATTGTGGGAACCAATAGTCCAGAGATTTTATTCTAAATTGGCTGGTTGGAAGGCTAATTCCTTATCTCTAGCTGGTAGGGCAGTTTTAGTGAAGTCAGTTTTGTGCTCTCTTCCGACTTATTTTCTCTCCCTTTTTAGAATTCCAATTGGTGTGGTTAAGAGATTGAATTCTATAATGGCAGCCTTCCTTTGGGGCGGTTTGGCAGATAAGAGGATATTCATTGGCTGAATTGGAAGTTAGTATGCAAGCCGAAGAGGTTGGGGGGTTTGGGAATTCCGAATTTGACACTTCTAAATAGGGCTCTTTTGGGTAAATGGGTATGGAAATTTGCATCAGAGAAGAATTCGTGGTGGAAAAAAGTTGTGTGTTGCGTGTATAATTTAGACTTTAATACATGCTTAATTACGAATTCTTTGTCTAATCGGGCATCTTGGATTTGGAAAGGAATAATTAATAATTTCTTTTCTAATGATGATTTTGGGGAATGTATAAGGAAGAATTTGTGTTTGAAGATGGGGAATGGAGAGACAGTGCAATTT